CCACATCCACTGGTTACGCACTGTTCAAATCCACGCAGGCCAACGGTGATACTCCCGATGCATTTCGCAAACATGTGCCCGTCGGCCGAGCACCCGCGATCACAGACAATGGTCTGACTATTGTTGAGAGTGCCGCGATTGCTGAGTAAGATCCCATTCCACCATAACAAACTGGTGAGCTTTCTGATGGCTACCTCAGGTATCTGTGCGAAAAGTACGACAAAGAGCACAAACTCATGCCTGCGGATATTGCCGAGCGTACTCAGGTCCGTGTCTGGATGTCAGCCTCCGAAGGCACGTTCCTTATACACGCCTTGGCAATCATGTACGGCAGTGGTGCTGCTCCTGACGCGGCTGATAAAATATCGAAGGGTCTTTCCCCTCAGGTGCACCGGGATTTTGACTGGTTGGAGTCTGAGCTGAAGAAAGGTGGAGGAAAGTATCTAGTCGGAGACCATCTGACAGCGGCAGACACCATGATGGGCTTCAGTGTCGCATTTATCCTCAAGATGGGTCTTGGTACTAGCGGGAAGAAGTGGCCTGCAGTGGAAGCCTGGCTGGCAAACATTGAGAGCACAGAGGCATACCAGCGAGCAGTAAATAAGACTGGACACACCCTTGGCTAAGCACCTGGCTTTGTTGACAAGACTACGGGCTTGACGATGTAAAGCTAAGATGGAGATGCAGTACAAGCTACGTAGAAAAAATCACTCCGTATCTCAGCTGTAAAAGTAGGCACCTCTTCTTCCATAACGTAGATCTACACACTATGTACACGTACCAAATGTGGTAACTATGAAAAGGTGATCAATTAGCTTTACGAGATTTGGCCCTAACCTCTCCCGGAGATTTCTGTTCCAAGGTCAACTGTTTATCAAGGAGTGCTATGCAGTCTAGGTCCGCTGCCAATGAACGAAATGTCTATCCATAAGACTAAGTCCCATTCTTTACTTCTATACGCTTGATCAGGGAGCAAGTGTCCCCTTCGAGCTGTAGGATTTGTATTCTATAATGTACCCGCTGACCGTCTAGGAGTGCAATGCTATGCCCAAGGTTCAAAACGACGCTTGTCAAGTGTACTGTACGAGATTGATGATTGATGATATCTAACAGTCTGCGATGAATGTAAGTAGGCTGCCGCGCTCATGCGCTAGGCCTATACAGGACGCTAAGCATCTCTAGTGCTAACGCAGCTAGCAGAGTGAATGGAGCATATAAACTCGCGACGTTTCTCTTGCAATGTACCAAGCTATATCGCATCGAAGAAAATGCATGATAGTGTCATCCAGACTACTTTAATCGAACTGAATTCAGAAGCATTACGAGATTCGGTTGAAATTTCTGGGAGTCGATAGGCGTCTTGAGCGACGTGGTAGTAACTTACTTGTCTTGCCTGTCCTTTCGTGGGACTGGCTCATTACCACCAGTCGCAGGAAGACCGATCGCTACTTTGAAAGAATCGTGAGCCATTGAGGTACGATCATAATCGTGCTGAGCGGGAACTAGTCTTATATACATACTTCAAGCTCAACACATAACGTTACCGTACCGTATAGCAAAACCATTCCATAGATCTCTGAAGCCCATCTCTTTGGAAATCCGCTTGACTGCACTAACTAGCAGCGGACATTGCTTGCTCATGATGGGCGGTCAATTTTGACAGTGTTGCATCTGCTGGATGGGAGACGACTGCGCCGAGAATACCTGAAAGATATCCTTCAGCAAAGGCAATCGCAGTCTGTGCAGTCTTTCAGTGGGCACCTTTCTTTTCTGCTAAACGATTGTACATCATTTGAACAATGCTTTAGAAGGATGAAAACTTCATGGCCGTATCCGGTATCTGGCGAGCCCATAGGTAATGGGTAGATGCCTCGGTAACTACAGGCCGTAGTAATATGCCAATGCTTCTTTGAGGATGGCCGATCTTTACAGCATCGATCTCACCTTGAGATACACTCCGTGATGATAGTCTTTCCAAAGTACCTCACATCACCCTCGTTCCCGGGTGAAGCTGCAGTCTGTAGGCCGACCTTCACTGTTTCGAACGCAAAGAGTCCAACATCGGCGATCAACTTAGCGGACGCGGAGCTAGCAACATAAACAAGAGATTTGTAGCGAGTGCCATATTCAGACCCGACCATAACTACCGGAATATGTCTTCTTTGAAATGTTCGTACCAGTCGTACTCAACGCACTTTGAACGCCGTAGCCAAGAGCAGTTGCGGTAACCCCGGTGCGGGGAAGGCCAGTTTTACTCTCTTGAAAGTCAGAATGGAGCGCATCACCTGCATGTACAGATTGTGCAGTCTACTCCGTACATGATCCAATGATCACTGATGTCCCTGCTTTAGGTGTCGCGGCGAGGTCGGGGTTTAGGCAAGCGCTACCTACCGGGCCGGTGTCTTGCGGAGTTCAGATTAAACCCCGAACAGAAAGAGGTTCGGCAGCACTCTTCAGTCCACGGGTGGTTTCGTTTTTGGGACCTTTCATCTAACTCTGTGAGGATAGCTTATGCATTTCACGCGTTGCCGCTGGCACTCAGCCGTTCCACCATTCTGGATCATTGGATCGAAGGTGCGAAAAATTTGGTCATGGCGGATGAATAGATGAGTCTCAGTCCTGAGAGCATGAAGCATGCCCACCATCTCCACGGCAATGTAGCCTGCAATAACAGCAACCTTCCCAGGCTGCTTGTCGAGCTCGAAGAATCCGTCCAATGTGATCCCAGGTGCGGCTCCTGCGAGTGCTTAGATGCTTGACTTTCCACTAATAGTGATGAGAATATGTTTGGCCTTGAGGATAATTTCAGTTTGGTCTGCCAGCACGATCTTGACCTTGTGTGAGCCGGAAAAGAACGCTGTGCCATGGATGTAATCTTTGCGGCCCGTACCCAGATTCTTCTTGTACACATTGCTCAGACGCTTAACGTAGGCCTTGCGTTTTGCCTTGAGGATTTCTAGTCAAAGGCTTGCGTGTGCTCCTCGCTGAAGCCATAGGCTTTGCTTTCACGATTTGTCTAAGCAATGGCGGCGGCATTCCAAATCACCTTCTTTGGCACGCAGCCTACATTGACACATGTACCCCGAGTATCCTGGTCTCCACTACTATGATCTTCGCACCGTGGACCCAACTAGCCCTCCTTGTGTAAGTGATACCATCAGCGCCCCCTCCCTTCTATGGCGAGCCAGTCAGCTTGGTACAGGGTTGTCATTCTCGGTGCAGGCCATTGCAGAGTAGCTCTGGAAAACTGTCTCTGTCAGTCCGGTAGCGATAATGTTATTCAATGACGTTGTTTGCCATCCAGTGGATCGAGTGTGAGCAATTGGTTACGAGACTAGGCTGCCGGTATCTGATGAAGCGATGTCGATACGTAAGTTTGGCCGCATAGACTTTCCCCTGGATCACGAGATCTTGTACTTGGATAGCCTCAAGGAGATTACTGAGAAAATGTAAGAACCGTTGTTGTAGCAATGCTCTTCCCATTGGTTTTGGAGTGAATCAGTACAAGCTCGAGGCTTGTAAATACATGGTGAATTTCGCCAACAATGTCTCCATTCCTGCTTTAACTAAGACCCATGCTGACAGCGCACAAGTCAAGCGATGATCAGAAGATCTGCTGCGGATGTGAGTGATGGGGGGCGGCATATAAAGAACTCGCTGCTCGAATATCCTCACAACAAATCCAAGATAATTCGCAGTTATCAAGGCCGAGATTACGCCTCTCAGCTTCATTTTCGAGATGCGGCTAAAGGTCCATTCAAGCTGTGTAAGGCCTTGTTGGCTCGTCTACTATCGCAGAGTCGATTTCCCCTCGCTGTGCTGATAGGCTCGATCACAATCCATCTCAGGTAGTGTGTCGGAAATGATTCCTGTCATTGCGTCCCCGAGACAACCAAACGAGACAGTAACCGTCGTGTCTGAGATGAATTTCTCAGAGACTGGGTGGCATGCGTTTTCAGGGTTGAAGTCATCTTCTAGACCATTGCATCCTCCATGCCCCCGATTCCTTCTAGATCGACCCAATCCATAAGGTCGGTATGACCACCTCCAACGGAGCTCCACCAATCTGTGCAAAGAGTATCGTCCGGAACAAAATTGACCCAGCCATTTTCTGGGAACGTTTCCAGATGCTTTGCTGCCATGGTATCGAGTTTTTGAACAAGGACTTGAGCGATATCGGCGTATATTTGAGCCCATGATGATATTGGTAGCGTTGAAGCGACATTCTGGAGGTGGTTCGAGAGCGCGCGAACTTTAACGCTCGCAGTCTGAATGAGATCTGGACGAGCACCGCGCCTGACTGTCTGCGAGCGCATTATTTTAGCATTGTGTTAAGAAACATCTTAAGCTTTAAGAGGAGCCCATACATTAAGAATCTCAGTAACCGCATGGCACATCATGACCAATTGGCAATTGTGGAAGCCAGACTTGAGTTCCACAAGCGTCAGATTCGACAGTATCAGGTCTATGAGACGCATCGCAATGTCAGCACTCTGCTGACTTATTGAACTGACATCCGGTAGAATTTCGTCCAAGCCGAGACTTATGAGATCACCTGCGGCGTGGGTATTGACGAGTAGAAGGGCATAATCAATGTAGAAAGCTAGAACAGGAAGAGCGAGGGTAGGAGAGCATTCATGGCCCTCGCATCTTTGCTTTCGTATGTTACTGAGGGTCTTGAAAGCATCTCGTTGCCACCTTGTGATTTCAATTCGATCTTTGTTGCCATGTTTTCGACACTCAAGAGCTTTCACCTAAAGGATGTTAACCGGATCTATTTTGGAACGAAAGTAGTTGCACGCGAGGACCAATAACACTCACCACAGTCACCCTCATCTCAACTATTCCACATATCATACGGTCGTGTGGAGCTGCACTGGGCTTCTGCCACCAGGTCGACGCATCTGACGGTATCTCTTTCCATGAGAAGCACATTGCTCGCCCTGTGGTGATGCCGAAGCTCTTGTCCGCTATGAAAACATACAGCCATGTCCTTTCCATATTACGCATAAAGCGTTCTCTGAGTTCTTGACTCATGGCTTCGTACAGCGTTGCCCTTTCTTGGACAACTTGGCTTCGACCAATATCAAGTTCCCTCGCCAGCTGAATGGCCTTGATCGCTACTGTCAGTCTTTTCTTCCGGTTAATTGGATAGAGAGCAGGTTATTAACTTACGTGGCTCAATCGCAGCCAGTATGGATCGTCTCTCTGCTTTTCATGAGCGGGTCCCCAGTATGCAAAGAGTAGCAGAGCTTGCACAGTCTCGACGGACTTGACCGACATTGCCATTGACCATCGAATATTAGCATCGGCCACTGCTGTAAGAGTGGGGTAGAGAAGGCGGTTCCTTGGCTCAGTCGATAAAGCGCATCCCAAGGCGCAGATGACGGAAAAAAGCGTGAACGATGCTGAATAAACGTATTGCGGCGTATGTAGCGCGGGATCCAACAAGCCCACAAATGGATTGCGCAACCTGAAAAATCTTTGGGGATAATAACTTTTGTCAGTAGATTGAACGCAGAGCGATGTCTTGCAAGGGACAGAACAATTGCGTTGCAATAAGGGCTCCATAACATAGCAGACTTACAGTTCAAAAGCATGTGCAACATCATTGTCGTCCAACAAACGGGAGGCGAGAGGATCGTGGATCGACGGACGTATTTGCAAGGTACCTTCGGGTGCTTGCGAAGCCAGCTCTTCCCAGTCCGAACAGATAGCTACGGAAGTTTCTAAGATGACGTTAGTTTTACGCATCAGGATTCCCCTATGCAAGTGTAAATGCAACCAAATGTGCCATGTGGTCCTTACGGAAGTAAGAAGAAAACCTATTCCGGCCACGAAATTTAGAAAAGCCGCCAGCGTGAGGTACTCTTCCTCTACTTGAGAAATCAGAGCGTTGATTGGTTGCTTCCATTCCGCTTCCAATGGTATGCGGCCATTGTGTCACGTCACTACAATCAACGGTAGCAGCAACGATCTGAAGTGGAGCGTAGATCCGGTCATGTACGGCGTTAATAGGTTCTTCATGATACGAAGTATTGCTTGGTTCGACACTGGGTGGTTCATGAGAAGCCTCGTCCTGGATTGCAGCATGGAGTAATGACTCCTCTTGTTGAATCTCGTCCACCCGATGATGCCCTGTCGATTGTGTAGTAAGTGCTGCCACGACCTCACCGTGTATGGAACTCTTGTTCAGTCGATCTAAAAATCTTTCCACAGTATCTGGCTTACTGACTGAAGGATTAACCCAAGTTCAACAACCTCTTATTAAATTTCCCGAATTGCACTCACTTTGTACTTCCCGGTTTTCTCCCCCGCTTGGACATGATTGGATATTTGCATGACAGCCCTTGGGAGCCACACCGCGCACTTTACACCTTCATCAGCCAGACTGTAAGCCATTGTTGGGCTACCAAATATCGTACCACGGCCGGCCGCGGCTGCACTTCTGCTTTGTGTCGCGACAGCCTAGGCAAGCACTCTTCTGAGCCGCCGGACGCTGTCGCTGTATGGGCACATCTGACGATGTGCTGCTGGTAGCAGTGGCCTGCATTGCAGCAGGATCCATAGCGAAATGGTCTCCGTAGGTTGAAATTAGAATAATGCCCAACTGACACGCTGACAAGAGGCAGAGGGTACCATGTTCGGAGTAGCGAATCAGAACGGCCTTATTGCGGGCGTGCCTACAGTCGCTCCATTTATTTATCCGCCGTTCTGAAAACTTCCATAATGGGGTTAGCGGCTTCCAAGCGGCTTCCGGTCAAAAGGTTGTATCTAGCTAGCCATATTGAGGCCTAGCGACGCATCTACTCTGGAGACGCTTCGCTCTGCCACCAAAGTCACAGTAAAACTCCATATAGCCAGTATTTGGTTACCTTTGTCCATGGGCGGAGTTCTGTACCATAGGTAACGTGATCCACCACCGAGCGCCCACCCCCACCGAGCGCCCACCAACACCAAAATCCACCACCCACTAAATAAGGATATTGCGCCACCCACAATAGCTATTATTACAAGATTTCTTAAAGTCGCGATTATTAGATCTATTAGAGTAGATTAAATATTTTAGATTATATAAGCAGCTTTTTAGGGGGTCTAATTAGGCGCCCACGCTATAAAGTTGCCTCTACTACTATATCCTCTTCTACTAGCTCCTTATTAACTACCTTAGCTAGTATAATAGTAGGAGGCTTAAGGATTTACCTCTTACCTATTTAGGATATTTTAATATTATTTTAGAGTTACTTTTCTAGTTACTTAGTAGTTTTCTACTTATTATATATAATAGCTTTTTAGGTAGCTTTCTCCTCCTACTCCTTCTTAGTAATTACTTAATTTAGGTAACGCTCCTTTATAAGTTAAGCTTTAGTAAGCTTCTATTACTTATAAAGCTTAATTACCTTACTTTTTTAGTATTATAGCTCCTATTCTTTAAGGTTCTTTTACTCCTAGAGCTTAAATACTTACTTTACCTTTAATAGTAAAATAAATTAGGTACTACTACTATAATTATTATTAGGGGGTAATAATAGAGGTTTACTACGCTTCCTACACTTCTTCTTATTAGCTAGGGCAGCCCTTAGGTATTTATTTTTATAGTTAAGTAGAGTATTTCTTACTAATATAGTATAGATTATCTAGCTAAGCTTCTTTAACTATTTATTATAGATATTAATTATAGTATTATAGAGTAACTACTCTATCTTTCTCTAATTACTTACACTTAATATTAAGGTTATACTATTACTTAAAGAAGGCTAGTTACTATTATTTATAGGTGCTTTAAACCTTAAAAGGATAATATTAGGGTTAAGTAATAAGATACCTATTACTTTAAAAGCTATTAATATTAGCTTTTCCTTAAAGGTATTACTTTATATAGTATTAAATAACTAGTAGAAATCCCTTTTAGTAATACTTATAAGCCCTTAGAAGCTATCTAGAAAACTAGATAGTTAAGCTTTATATAAAGCTATAAAGGGAGTAAATACTATAATATTAAGTAGCTAAAGGGTGTAAGTGCTATAAGGGGGATATATTATAAGTAGAATCTTATATTTATTATAGTACTTAATAAACTCTATTATTATATAAGATCTATAGCTATTAAGGATAAGGAGCTAGTATAAAGTATAAGCTTTAGCTTTTATCTTATAATTAAATACCTCCTTAAGCTAGGATACCCCTAAGGTATAGCTTATTGTGGAAGTTTAGATCACTAAGGTCAGGAATAATTTAGGAGATAGATTATTAGATTGTATCTACTACAATTAGACTTATATATATAGAGCTTTAGCTACCCTTACTAGAGGGTGAATAATTAGTAAACCTTCCTTACTAGAGCTCCTGCTTTTTGTTAGGCACTTAGCAGTAAGCTAGTAGTTAATTAGATAGTGGGTTATACAGGGGTATTAACTAGGATTAATTAGGATTAATTAGGATTAAGATACTCTATAATCTAGTTAATATCCCTCCTATAACACACCCCCTAGGTATAGGTAGATCTTTTGTTGTTGTTGTAGTTAAGCTTGTAGTTAGTAGGTAGTATAGCTAATTAGAGCGTTGTATATCTAAAGGGTTAAATTAGCTTACCCTTTAGATACTAACTAGCGCGCCTTCCTTATTTGGCCTGCGCTTACGCGCGTAGATATTATCTAGATAGAGCTCTATAACTCTATCTACCTAACTATAATCTTTTACTATAGCTTAAGTTATAAGATTATATAACCCTAAAGATCTAAACTATACTTATATCCCTACTAACCTATATCTTAGTTAAAGTTAAAACCTACTACTTATACTTACTTTACCTACGCTACCCTTATTACCTCCTACGTAGCTAAAGCTATAGTTGCTAAAGCTACTACTACTAAAGAAGAGCGCGCTACTACTAAGTATAAGGCTGTTATAGAGTGTGTGGCAGCTAAGTATATAGCTACTACTACTATAGCTAAGATTATAAAGCTAAGGTAAGGCGCTCCCGCTCTAGCTCCTACTACTCTAGCTCTAACTCTAGCTCCTGCTCCCCCCTAGACCCCGCCTAAGGCCCCTGCTCCTGCGCCTACTCCCTCTCTAGCTCCTAAGGAGACCCTAAGATCCTCCTACTATAGAGAGCCTAGTATTTATTATGCTAAAACTTATCTAAATTATCTACGCTTAGCGCTCTTTAATAAGTCTAATAGCAAGTGCTATAACTTTTCTAGTAGGGGGACTTAGTACTAGTAGTGCTTCTCTAGGTATAGCTATATCCTAATATATATAATCTATATAAGAATTTTTCCTTTATAATACTTTTAGTAAAATCTTATACTAATAAACTAATAGCCCTAAGCTTACCTAACGCTCTACGCTATCCTTCCTAGTAAGGAAGCAGGTAGGTAAGAGCTAAGACCTTCTTAAGAATAAGAAGTAAAGGGTCTTAGTGCTCCTTAAGGAGAGCAAGGCTAAATAGCAGGAGCTAGTAAAAGCTGCTACTACTACTACTAAGCTTGCGCGTAAGGCTGCTTCTATAGCTAAGGGCGCCTAGAGCTCCTTATTAGAAGATAAGGACTCTAGCTCCTCTAAGGTTCCCCCTATAGATCCTAGGATAGGGTAACCTAGGTAGCTCCCTATAGACTCTAAGGCACGCTTTACGCGCGTAATAGAGCTCCTTAGGGAAGCTACCTAGTTAATAATAGAGAGGTAGGCTATAGTTTATTATTCTTATATTATATATTAATAGATCTTATATACTACCTTACTTTAATTAATACTATATAATATATACTCTACTATTATATAACTTTAGGTACTCCCTAAACCTTATAAATTATTATACTATTAGGTTTTTAGTAAGCCTATTAGCTAGTATATTGCTAGTAGGTAGGTAGGTAATATAGAAAGATCCCTTTATATACTCTTACCTAAGCCACATGTTTTAAATATCTATATAGCGTAGCTTAGTAGTAATCCTTTTATTATTGCCTACTACTAACCTAATAGTTTGTTAATTATTATAATTAATTATCTAGGTAGTATCTAAAGTAAGGTGTATTTTAGTTAAAAAGCGTTTTAACGCTATTGCTTCTTTGCTTACTTACTTAAGCGTAAGGAGCTCTGCCTTAGTAGTTAAAGTAGTAATAGTTAATTGTTAAGCTACCTTCTAAATAATAGGTCCTCTAAAGAGCGTGATTAGGTATTTATATAATAATTACTAAGTATTAATATTATTAGTAAATAACGCATTACTATATATTATAAGCTTATTAGGATCCCCTTTTCTATATTAGATTAATTAGTATTAAGTTTAGTATAGATAGATAATTACTTAATTAACCATATTAAAGTGTTGTTTAGATAGGTTAGTAAGGTATTAGGAGAGCTAGGAGGCTACATAGGCAATATTAGGACGCACTATAATTAAGGTGTAAAGGATTAATCTAACGCGCTCCTAATAGTCCTTAATCTCCTTTTTAGTAGCTTCTCTAGTGCTCTTTTTAATGTCTTTACTTAATATGTAGTGTAGTAGGGAATTTTCCTGTCTCTACTAGATTAAATTTCTTTGCAATCTTATTAATGTATTTATTATAAACAAGCGTTATTGTCTATCTCTTTCTATCCTAGATTACTCTTACCCCTAGAAACTAGCTTATAGGTCCTTTTTCTTCTATAGTATATCTTTACTTTAGAGCTTAGATAACCTTATAAGCTTAGCTTGCGTAGTTTTAGTAATAGAGCAATAGGATATTGTCTATATAGAATATTAACAAGATACTACAATCTCTATTAAAGAATAGGCATAGCTCCTCTTTAGAAGTAATAAGCTTATTTTCTTAGAGTGTAGTTAAGAGCTTGTTATACTATAATAATAGTAAGTCTTTTAATCTATATAGAGCTTGTTTAAGCTTAACGCACTTCCTAGGTATTTAATATCCTTTAGGTAGCTTGCAGATAACTATAGGGTATTAATCCCTTAAGGCGTTAAGGAAAGCTCTAACAACGTTATATTAATATATCTTAAGGTTAAACTTAGCTCTAATAGCTATTGTAGTCCTAAAGGTTTAAGCTACTAGGGTAGCTACGTAGGTTAAATAAATTAAGTTAGTAAGCTATAGATCTCCTCTTACTACTATCCTTGCTTTACACTTAATTAGGTAACTATCCTAATTAAGCTTGTATGTAAACACCTATTTAAGTAGGAGTAGACGCTCTCCTATAGTTAGCCTATTAATCTCCTCCTAGGTACTAGCTTTTAGCAGAGTATTAATTTCTTTATATACTACGTCTCTAAATTGCTGTCCTATTTAGTAGTTATAGAGATCCTTCTATTATTTTAGCTCTTTTTGTAGAGCGTCCTAGTGCGTATTCCTTTTAGGGTTTTTAGGAGATTTACTCCCTATTACTGCTATAATTATAGCGTAGATTATAGTATTTAGTTTAGGATATACTAAAAGATTGTGTAAGGGATTTCTAATTAGATCTATATCTAATAGATCTATTACTATATATATCCCTGCACTTATAGAGCCTCCTAGTGGTTTATTAGGGTCCTATCCCTAAGCTTGCTTACTAACACGCGTTAGTGGTAGTCCTTTAACTTATGGTTTTCTACTTCTTCTAGGAGCTCTAGGTGCCGCTTGTAAGGGATCTGCAGGAGATACAGAATCTAGTCCTAAAGCAGGTAGGTAGGAGCTCTGCTTACCACCCCTATAAGAGCTAGATAGGGTGCCCTTACCTATCTCTGTGCTCTTATAGAGTAACCTACTAATAGCACTCTCCCCTCTAGGTCTTTCCTAGGAGCTACCTATCGTGGCGTTAAAGTAAGTTAGATTACTACTATCTTAGGTAGTAAGACCCTAATCTATAACCTGTATAGATCCTTTATCTCTTATACTAAAGTTTAGTTCTAGTATTAGTTTAGGAGTTTAGAGCTGTATTAGCTTAGGGGACTTGTATAGATCCTTTGTGCTAAGCTAGCCGTGCTTAGTACCCACGCTAGAGGTGTCTGCTTAGGGGGTTGTGAATTACTAGGCTAGCTAGCCTAATTATCTACCTCCTCTAGCTCTACCCTACCCCCTAGCTCCTGCGCTAGGTTTAGTCCTCCTTACTTACTAGACTCCTTATATTACTCTACTATAATACAAAGCTAATTAAAGATATTAAGCTCTTTATATGCTTCTCCTGTATTATAGATCTTATCTTTGCTAATAATATTAACTATCTTTTAAGCTTCTAACTATTAAAGCTACTCTAGATCTTTCTCTTTATAGAAAAGATCCTTATTAAAGGTAATATTCCGCGTTATAATAATCTAATTAAGTAAGGGGATCTATATCCTATATATATTAGATGCTCTATATCCTACTAGATATCTAATATAACCCTAAGGGTTCACCTTAAAAACCCTCTTGTAACGCCTAGCTGCTTAATCTTAGTTAAGGGGGTAAGCTTGACAGCTATAGGCGTATATTCCGCTCTAATTAGGGCAGAGATTAGCAGTTACCTCCCTAATCTGCTCTAGTTGCTACCACCTAAAGTATCTAGTAAACTAATAATCTAGCACTTTATTAGGTAATATTATATTATAAGCATAGGACAGGCTTATATTATAGAGCTAAGTCGCTGCTTTAATAATTTTAGGCTAGAGCTTTGTTAGTAGGTTAGCACTAATCCTTATTTTAATTAATTTTGTTATAATCTCCTACCCTACTCTTTCTACTTTTCTATTAGGTTTATAGGTATATATAGGTAAGCTCTTAATTTTAATACTATTATTAGCTACCTAGATCTAAAAGCGAGATTTGCTACGCTAAGGGAGCGTTGCAACGTTGTTATCTTGTATAATCTTAACTATGCTAAGCTTATATTAGTTAAGTATTAAGCTCTTGAAATTTTTAAACACCTGCATAATCTTATTAAGGTTTTTGGCTTGCAGTAGATAGGTATAAAGCTTTCCTAAGTAGTCGCACTTTAATACTAAGATCTATTGCTTGTAAGCTATACCTGTTAGCATATTAAATAGATCCTATAATACCTAGTAGTATAGACGTGGTAATCTTTCCCTTAGTTATCTTAATATAACCTATTAGGTATATATAATAGCGCAGTGCTTATATTTGCTCCTAGGAGTTCCTTTAATCCTAATATTTATAGCTAACTTAACTAGAGCTTTAAGCGCCTTAGGTCCTAAATAGCCTAATTATTAGTGCTAAAGCTCCTTACTATCGTGTCTTAGGTAAGTTGTCTAGGATTGTTAGGGTTATTTAGGCACCATGCTTTAGATTATTTAATAAGGGGTAGAGGGCTTATATTCTAGGAAAGTTAAGTTAAACTTACGCAGTAACTTGGCTAATACAACGCTCTTCTCTAATAATCTAAACTGCAAGGTGGCATCTAGCCTAAGGAACTAAACTCCTGCTTTAAGCAATTAAGCTTCTAATACGATATTTACATAAAATCCTTCTACTAACACCACGTTAGTAAGTATTAAATCTTCTATTTTTGGACCTCTTGGTCTATTAAGAGCATTAGGGATTACTCTAGTCCCTCTGCCTAAGATTAGAAAAGCTTAAGTTCCTGCTTTAACTATCTTATATTTAACTAATCTAAATAAGCTTTCTTCTAGGTAGCTTATATTATTAACTAGGTGCACTACACCCCTATTATTAAAGATAGTGCTCTTTAATAGAGCGTAAGCTTTAAAGTCTATAGTTAAATAGATCCTGTTTGTTTTCTCCGCTATTAATATAGGGTTAATTAGTGCTGCCTAGATACTGCCTAGATAGGTAATCGCGTTTTCTTTTGCCTTACTACTATAATCTTAATTATTAGGATAGGACTTAATTAGAGCTTTTCTTAACTCTTTAAATTTTAGATTCCTATTAATCTTTTTCTTAATCTCTAATTATTAAGTAGTAGTAAGCTTGTTACCTATATTAGTCTAAGCTTTAATAACGTTTTTGCATTTAGGAGGTTTCTATAGGTAAGATCTACTACATAGGTATAAAGACTCCTTCTTAGGTTAATTAGAAGGTAGAGCTCCTATTATTGCAAACACTCTAGGACCCTTAGAGCTTAATCTTATATTATTCTCTTAGAGAAGTAATAAATAGATCTTAGTAACCTGCAGGAGGTTATAAGTTAGCTCTCCTATTACTAACTTTTTAATAATCCTTTAAAACATAGTTTAACCCTAATCTAGTAAGATCCTAGTAGATAGAGCTTTAAGATAATCCTATACTACAAGCTATCCTTTAATATTAGGAACGTTATATACCTTAGCTTGCGTATATAGGATTATCTACTCCTTCTACTAGTAATTAGCGTCTTAGCTACTTATCTTTACCTTAGCAAGATAAGCTTTATACTGCAATCTTGCTAGTGTTACAGCGCTTAAGTTAGTTAGCGCTAGGTTATTATAGAGCACTTAGATAAGTGCTTAGAGGGTTACTCTTCCTTAATTAACAAGCTCTATATAGGCTAGGGTAAGGATCCCTTAATCTACTATATTATTAACCTATATAAAGAGGTTCTAGATTACTAATAACTTTAATACCTAATCTAATAAGTAGGCTTAGTACTAAGCTATTTAGAGCTTGTACTGCTCGCTTGTTATATTAGATAGCGCGATATCTGTTAGCATGTTAGGCTTAATAGGTTTATTCTTAAAGTGGTTTTTAGCATCTAGAGCCTTAGAGTCTACCTCTACCTAGATCCCTTTAGTTAGGGTATAGTATCTAAATTGAATGTACTAGGTAGGCTAATTAGTTAATCTAGTAAGTAGGATATCCCCCTTTAGGATTTAGTTACTTATAGTAGAAGAGTAATAAGTAAGCTTCTACTTAAGAAATAGTATAAAGAGTAAAGCTTGCTAGCTTAGTGTCTAAGTTAAATAATACGCTTAAATAGATAGGACAATCTTTAATAAGGTAAAGCGCAAGCTAGGCTTATAACTATAGAAGTTTAGATTACTAAGGTTAGGAATAATTTAGGAGATAGATTATTAGATTGTATCTACTACAATTAGACTTATATATATAGAGCTTTAGCTACCCTTACTAGAGGGTGAATAATTAGTAAACCTTCCTTACTAGAGCTCCTGCTTTTTATTAGGCACTTAGCAGTAAGCTAGCAGTTGATTAGATAGTAGGTTATACAGGGGTATTAACCAGGATTGATCGGGATTAATCGGGATCAAGATGCTCCGTGATCTAGTTAATATCCCTCCTGCAACACTTATCTACCTACTTAGTAATCCTATAAAGAAAGCTTAGTATTATAATAGGTTAAAATCTTATAACTAGGTATCCTATAAAGCTCTAGATTAGGACTAATAAATAAGGGTAGAAGTAAGAGTAGTACTATTAGCGTATATACAAGCTATAGTAGTAATCTACTCCTTATTACTATCCTAGAGTATAGCTCTAATCTTTCTCTACTTATAGGCGCTCTTATTAAATATATATTTAGTTTTTAATAGTACTTTAATAAGAAAACCCTTCTTATCTATATTATAGATATACTAACTCTTAATATTATATTACTTTATTTTTTAGTATAAAAGCTTAAAGTATAAGCTATACTTAAAGGTAGAATTAGCTTTAAAGTAGTTATAATTAAGCCTAGTAGCCTAATAGGAGATAAGATTAATATTATAGTAGTTAATAAAGCGCTACACCTAATTTTTACTTACTAGATTCCCTATTATTTTAGTTATAAAATTTTAAATAATAGTTTATATAGGGGGTAATCCTTACCTATAAAGCTCTTTAATATACTCTATAAGCTTACTTTCTTATATAGTATTAAGTATTTAACTATTTAGTAGAGTAGTAGTGCGTGCTTACTAAATTTTCTAGTAGTATCTAGATAAGGTTAACTATAAGTAACTATACTTTTCTACTATTTCTAAGTATATAAAATCTTCTCTAAGAGTTAAGGATTTAATTACTACAAGCGTGTTATTAATAGGTGCTATAGTTATTAAGAAATTTAGTGTTAAAAATTTAGTGATTTTAGTGTTAGTGGGCGCTCGGTGGGGGTGGGCGCTCGGTGGTGGATCACGTTAGTCACTGACTTGGGTGTGGAACGCGTGTGGACGCTTCGGGTACCTTCTATTGCAAATTTCAAAAGGGTAGTGGGGATGACAATTCATGATAGGTTGTTGTCGCACGAGTTGTGTTCGATTTAAAAGATTGGCACCTGTATGCATTTAGAGTGCTACTGTGCCACTCCACATACATTAATTGCTATTCCTCCACGCATGGATTGCATTGACAGGTTGGATTTTGAAAGACCATTTCAAGAAGGTGTCCATTTACTTAGAGGGGAAGCATCCCATCGTACTGAGTAAGACCCTCGCAAGGTGTCAAGTAGGTCCTTCGGTTGACAACATACAGCTCGTTCTCCATGGAACCGACATTGCTGCATTCAGGATCGAGGCTGCCAATCTTAATAGACAGCATACCTGGCGCTGCGTCTGGGATACCAATGACTTGAGCACCACAACTGCCACAGAAGTGGTGGTGGTAGAGCTTTCCAGAATCTCCCAAGTGTGGGTAGGTTCTGGTTACACCTATCTTCAGTCAATAGGGATATTTCGGGACTCAGAGAATCCCACCAACCCTTGGTGAACTCGAATGCCTCGCGAGGAATAATCAGATTCATGCTGAAGGCGCTAGCGGTGCGCTGGACGTATCATTAGTACCTCATTCAGTGGTATTACGAACAAGATTGCTCAAGAATACCTTCTGGCATGGCGCACAATGGCAGATGGCCTTGACGCCCGTATCCACTATATAGCCCCGGTTAGTAATGTCAATCAAACAGGCTCGTTCCAGTTTCGGTCTGAAGCTAACGAAGACCAACGAGAACCCGGTACAATTATAGGACGATGTACCTTTGGCAGAGTACCTAACGGAACCGCACATGCAACCTCCAGTAAGAACCATTGTGCAAGATAAGAGGACTTGGGGAAGGGCAAAGATAAGAGTTGGCTAAGATTTGTATGATTGTCTTGATGTCAATGACTGAGAATTTTACTATACCTGCAGTTCTGGAGGCTGTATATTATATATCCCGAGAAAACCGTATAGTTTTGTGACACGAGATATGAAAAGAGGCAGTCGAAGTCGGGCCACCACTCAATTCTGTTTCTCTATTCGCTAGGCCTTCATTTCTAGTCTCCGACCACGGCGGTCGAATATTGTCCGATACAGACTTAAGGTATCTATACACATAATGTCTCTTCTTGCACTGCAAATTTGGTCATGGTCAAATGACCACTTTAGTAGTAGTGTTGCTACATCAAAGGCAAAAATGATTAGAAGATAGATTATATCCAACAACTGGATGGTGGTGGCATCTATAGAGCCCCTCGGTAGTCATACAAAGGATTACACGATTACCTAAATCCTTTAAGCCTAAACGCTGTATCAACAACTTAGCAAGGACGTTAATCAAGGCCTCCTCCGCAACACCAAATATTGTGTAGGGAATTTCAACCAAGGACACCCTTTTATTATAGAATAATACTAGAAACTACACTAAGAGATTTGCTGTGTCCGCTCTAATATAAACAAAAATCTTCGGCATCTGTAACAAAGGACTCTTCGCAATAACGCTTTAGTATCTCTATAATATTGCGGGAATCTTCTCGCGCCTTCGCACGAATCTTCTTCAAGTCCACTCCTACTAGCTTCCCATCACGTTTTAGGACTTTCCCCTCTACCGTCACAAAGTCCACATTAGCAGTCGTGGAGTACTGAATCGCAGTTCCAAGAGGGTTCGCTGACGGAGAAATCTTGTGCTTGCTAGTAATAACAACAATATCAGCTCTCTTTCCTAGCCTTAGCGTACCTATCTTGTTGCCAAGATTAAGGGCATCCGCGCCGTTCCGTGTTCCCTAGATAAGAGTGTCTTAGGAGACAAAGTCCATGCTATATAAGGGTCGGTAAGTCTAATAAATAGTATAGTAATCTAGGCCACGCTGCGCCTATAGCTGCACCTGCTTTGCATGCAGAAAGTCTAGTGCAGTAGTTAAAGAGCTATTACTACTAAGAGCGGGCTGTGGACTATAGGCAAGAGCTGTCCTTAAGGGTGGATACCCTATACCTGTTAAAATGTTCAAATCCAGTGCGAAATAGATTTTGCCCCTTAATTTAGTAATAAGACCCATATCGCGATCTATAACACTTAGATAGTAGATATACAGGTACTTTAGAATTATATATTTTATTTCTAATAAAACAAACAGATCACGTAAGGGATAAGGTCCTAACGCTGTACTAAGGCTGCGCGCGCTATAGCCGTGTTTAACCTATTACTATTACTTAACTAGGGATCTATACTAAAGCAAGAAAATAGAAAAATACTATTTAGTTTAGAATAAGAGCTTAGAATACAAAAATAAATACAATAAAGTTACTCTATTTTATAGGGTCTATCTTTCGATTTAATTAGTAGTTTATTATAAAATACCCTATAGGTAACTAAAGTATATAGCTAACTAACACACCTACCCTAAGAACCTACAAAACTATATAGATTAATATAATAGTATAATAATAATAATAAAACTACCTATCTAATAAGGTTTATATACTAGTTACACTTTAGGCTCTTAAATAAGATATAACACTCCCTTTATAATATACTATAGTACTCTATAGCATCCTTAAATTAATACTATACTACTAATACGCTACCTAGGCTTTATATAGGGATTTTATCCCTATATTAAGAAAGTTAAATAAAATTAAAAAGGAGGTAATTTTTAGGTATATACTTAACCTAAGAGACTAAAGATTTCCCTCTTAGCTAGTAGCTATTACTAATATAGCTAATCCCTTAAATAATAAGTAAAATCTAGATAATATTAGTATAAACTGGCCTAGTATATTTATTAAGTATTAACTAAGTGTGGAAATTTGGATTACTAAGGTTAGGAATAATTTAGGAGATAGATTATTAGATTGTCTCTACTACAATTAGACTTATATATATAGAGCTTTAGCTACCCTTACTAGAAGGTGTATAATTAGTACACCTTCCTTACTAGAGCTCCTGCTTTTATTAGGCACTTAGCAGTAAGCTGGCAGTTAATTAGATAGTGGGTCATACAGGGGTATTAATTAGGATTGATTAGCATTGATCGGGATTGATCAGATTAAGATGCTCCGTGATCCGGTTGTTATCCCTCCTGCAACACTAATTTACTAATTATTGCATTAGTATTAGCTCTTTTCACTCCAGGTTATTAAAGCGATGTTCTAAGGAATGCCGTACTAGTAGAAGTCACACGTAGCAGAATCTCCGATATTCACCCTAGCTATTATGCTGTGCAACGTTAGCAATTATCACTGTCTCCTCCTTTCTTAACATGGCTGCTAGACACACCTGTCCCACCCGCACCAAGCATCGTGACAATTCGTGTCCACAAGGATTTCTTGGCATGGATGTGAACAAGGTACTCCATCAGTAGTAACTTTAACCTAGAGGAAGACAATAGTTAGCTGTCCATGGCCTATACTTGTCTTTAGTCCAGTTGGATTGTAGATCTTACCTTTGCAAACCCTACACGGACATAGAAACTTGCTAGTTTGGCAACAGCTTGGAGCATAGTATCTATTTGCGTATCTTAAAAGAAGAGTGAAATAATTATGACGCTGTGGGCGGAGATATTTGGCAGCTCACGAATATCATGGACACTCCAGCGCATTTATAATGTTCACCAGGAAATATCAGATCCACATGCTCAAACTTCGTACTCCTATTGGTCTTCCATCCCAACGGATGTGCTGCCCATCCTATGCCACAGAAGATTAAACCCCTCCACTATGGATTGTTGTGCATTGTTGGGATATTGGCTATACTTCTCAGGTCACGCAACCCCTCATTTCCCCGCAAGATCAAGATCTATCCGGAGTCGAGTATTCATACAATTTGATAATATGTATACAGGTTTGTACTACTTCAGTCGAGATATATGTTGAAGCTGAATCAATTGTCAAGCCAAAGGGCCACGAAAGGTGTCGCACTCATTGCAGACAATCCGGAACCACCAGAAAAATGTCCGAGGACAATGCTCGTAAGCTCTTCAAGCTCACCGTAAATGTCATCAGAACGCTCCTATTGTTCCCAACGCCAAGTTTCTGCGACCGACTCCACAATAAAGCTCGATACAACCCTAATTGCCGATCTATCATTAATTACATCCCAAAGGGAACTGACTACCCCCCTGACAGCAACCCAGATGATTGGAATAGCCAGTTTATAGACGAGTTGGATGCGAGTTACTACTTGAAGCTTCTTGCCAATTGTGGGTTTTGGATTGGCATCTTGAATGTTGATGACAGCAAGGATGACCAAGGCTATAAACGTAAGATCAACTCAGTAAGCATCCACTAGAAATGAGATATGTTTAAAAAGCTCATCTGAAGTTAGACCAACCTCAAATGTACGATACTTGGAAGTGATTTCCATTGTCCTTGGTTACTGTCTTGGTGAGTATATCAACGCTGCGTTGAAAAAAGCGGGCGCACGCACCCTCAAAGATATCCGCAACCTCAAGATCAAGGACTACTTTTATGCTTTTATAAAAGAAGATTCCTTTATCAACGCACAGATTTGCCAAGATAAGATTAACATAGACCACCGTTTCAGCATCTACATGCTCTTCATCGCAGACTATCTGATCTACTAGCCTGGCGCCTGGCCCGGCTATGCCGAGGACGAAACCGCGCGGCCCAGTTATTCAATTCTAAGCACCTGGTCTGAGAAGATCTGGGAAACGGATATTGGCGATGATAAGAAAGCTATGGACGAACACATCACCTTTTGCGGGCAATTGAGTACGATCACGTTTGTCACGGCGAATCAATGGGAAATTATTCAGCCAGCGCCGACATTTGATGTACTCCAACATTTCTATCAGATGTCGACTCAAAGCGCACGGGAGAAAGGAACTTCTTCGGCACTGAGTTATGCAGAAGCAGTGACCAGGAGTATTGACAGACTCCAGGCTGCGAAAGATGTGATCAATGAATGGAAAACTTACTGCCAGGACATTGCTAGCAACTTCAAGGTCGAGTACTTTGGGAACTCGGCGAGCGCTGTGGATACCTTATTTTCAAAGGATGATTGGAGTTCGGTGGATGACTGGTCAGGTAAATGTGAGTGTGCCATGTCGTTGCAGATTTCCTGTTGACGGATTTTTTTCCTTCCATTCTGACCAGGAATAGGCTATACCGACGATCGAAACTACGCAACCTGGCCAGATCTGCGTATATGGAGTTCCACGCCTTGGAGCCTACAGCGACCAGGCTTATATTTTCTATCAGGGACGCAGATCCTGGCTGACAATGGAAGTACCCTTGCTATTAAAGAGATGAAGGAAGGAGAGAAGGTGTTGGCATCAGCTAACCCTGTTCAATCTGCACTCCTCGCGAAACGTGAGCCAGTTTTTGTTAAAACTAGACTAGTAGGATTCAGTAAGTGGCAGAGATTATAAAGGAGTGAATAGGTTCTGACTAAGTCAATCTAGATAGCGAAAAGCCACTCTTAACAATTTCTCAAGTGTATATGACAACAACTGGTCTTCGCGCAGTTGACCCACACGCGGCCCAGGCACTCAACCCTTTTTAACAGATTGGAAGGTCAGCAGTGGGCCACTGCTTATACTGAGTTAACGGGAGTTCCTATGAACTTGTGGACATCAAATCAATTGAAACAGGAGCTGAGACTGACGAAGCTCTGCATCGCGTGGCCGTGGAAGGTGACGTTTAAACTCTCCATGCTAATGGATATTTGGTTTCTTGCGAGGACCCTCTCCGCTCTGCCTAAAACGCGGCGAAAATGCTCCAACAAATTCCATTGGAAAAACGACTTTTGTATCTCGTCAACCAACGAGAAATTCTCCCGTTATTGCAGAAGTACAGTCTCCGGACAATTGAGGACAGCTTGAACCAAGAGATCTATGACCTTGAATATGCCCCCTGGCGCTTTTTTAAGAACGCTGCTTCATTAAAATTACGTCCGCCAGGAGGATTTCCACTAGATATGCTGGAACGTCGGTTTCAGCTCACTGCTTACCACGAAGAGACGCTGCCGTCTGAGTATATTTTGCCTGACCTGAATATTGTTGATAGGAGTGTTATCGCCAATGGCTAAGTGGTATTGCGGACTGTTATGGATGCCTGTACGAGAACTTTCCGATGGACCCGCGAACTGCCACAACTGGGAGGATTCGAGCATGCCTGTTTGAAGATATATCCTCACGGAAAGGCTGGCTCAGGAGTTGTCTACCTCACAGCAGATGCCAATCCAGACAACGTAGGGTCTCAAACAACAGTCTTTGGTTTCCGCGCTCTCGCAATTTCCCCTGAGCAGACAGCAACTTCGAAATCTTCTGACAGCTTTGTAGTGGACGATACACTATCATTGACTATTGACAAAACAGCTTGGCCACCTGACACAGACTGGAGCTCAGTTAAGGATCCCACCGACGGCGGAACCATCAAGCTAGGAACCTACACCACTCCCGACGGTTACAGTGTCCCTACAGCGCGCATGCCATCTCTCGATGATGTTCAAACTAAGGTCAACCAAGCAATGGGCCGAAAAATTGAGCAGCTTTATCGTTGCGTTTCGACAATATCCGCTGCTGGAAATCCGGTCCATACGGTTGAGTTGAACCGAGCCGCTTGGCTGCCTTTCCTTGCTGATGGCGGGACCAGTGAAAGTAATTTCGGTCTCGAGTTCCAGTCAAACCTTGGAATTGATGCCAAGGTTCCTTGTCTTTTCCAAGAGTTCCAGATTGAGCAGGATCTGTTTTGGCCGAAGGCCAGTAAAGCTGTTATTTTTGAGTACAATCCTGTGATGCGTGGAATGAAAGGAGATTGGTGAGTAGTCACATTTTTCACGCAGTTATACTTGATTAATGCTGGTCAGGCATTTTGTTACTATGGGTTATGCGCGATCTAAGATGGATCACTTTAATGCTTTGCGGTCGAAGGTTTCTCGAACTGTTGCTACGGAGTCACCATTTGCTCCTTTGGACTCGGCTACTCGAACGCCAGCGGCATGTACAAATTCTCTAGATGCGTATGCGGCAAACAGTGTGTCCGACCTCATTAACTTCTACTAGTACAATAACCAGGCCATAAGCATCAAAGGGTTTCAAAAAGCCAAAAAGTCTTATAGCTAACTATATCTGATTAGTCCCACGATGCATCCCAGAAGATTGTCACAAAAGCGATGTTCTACCACATGAATCAAGACGACCGGGAGAAATTCACCAATTCCAGCAAGCCCACCGACCTCCCCTCCTCTCTCGCTGACGGCCTGAAACCAGGGCTGAAAACTTTTCTGCGAACCAAATACGCGCCCGCCTATCTTTGCCAATCTTTCGAAGCCAGCGATGACTACAGAGGCACATTTACGGAGAAGGAAGGCGAGAAACTATGGTACTGGTAGCACGGTAATGGGGAAAAGTGCCTGGCGAGAACAAAGGAGTATAACGAGCTAACCGATCTAACGGGTGTGCAGGGAGTCAAGGACCTTTATGGCTACTTCCTCGATTCGTATCTCTCCGATAATCTGAAAGGCTGGGCACAGAAAATGTTGACGGTGTTGCAAGACCCCCAAGTCCTGGACTACCACCTCACCACCCCAATTTCAGGTGTAAGTTCATCTCTTGACTAGCTTGTTACCCCTCTCCTGCTGTATATTTGATCAAGATTCTTATCAACGTCTGTTTGAATGCAGACACGGAATCTGGATGCCCTTTAACCAGGAGACATGGTCCTTGGTCCAATGCTCCTGGCGCGGCCGGAGCTTGGTCTCATGTAGTGAGAGGTCATCGACGGTGCCGATGCGCAAGATGCTGAGGCCCGGTAAACGCTCGGCGAGGCGGTACATGAGAGTGTCGCACGTGCAGCAGAAGTAATTGATCATCGCTTCACCCGAATGTATCGTCTGCGACTGGCTGCATGTCTTGAGGTTGTCCTTTCCACGCACGTGGTCGAGGTGCGAGCCCTTCAATGGTAAAGTTGCTGGCGAACATGGACTCTTTCCAAGTTCTTGGAGACATCACTATAAACGAAGAAACCAAGGCGAGATTTGAAACATTTCTTTCATTACTATCGTCTCCCCAACCACGGCCCAACAAAGAGAAGAGGGAGGAGCTCAGGGCGCAAGAAGAGATACGTAGCCAGACTAAATAAACTACTATGAGATGCAGGCGCGCCGGCCCTTTGGAACCACGCATGCAAGCCAGAGAACGCCGGAGAATGCTTGTGTCGTGCGTGTGGATGTGTGTGAGTATGAGAGTGCAAGTGTGTGAGTGTGAGCCTGCCAATGTGCAAATGCGAGTCCCGAAAACGCCGTGGAGATGCAAAAAGGTGGGATCGTGTATCCAGTAGGCATATCCCCGCGCTCTTCGTCAAAAAAAAAAGAAAGAAAGCGCATCGCATCACAGTCCTATTCCCTCCGTGCTCACTCACTCTTTCGGGTGAACGATACTAGAGTGGAAGAGGACAGTGGAGGAGGTGAAAAGACGGATCTAGGGTGGTCTAGGTGGAGACAGTAGAGGGAGGAGCGAGTGCATCAGTAGCCAGTCTGGCGAGCGGCACAAGGGCCGCTCGTCTGGCCAAACATTCTGTTGAAGAAGCCGGCTGATTTGGCCTTTTTGGGAGGTGGAGTTTCATACAGGGGGAGCGAGTGTTGCAGTTTGGGTTGGGCAACGGGGCCGTTGATATATACAATGTTGGCGCCCTGGTCGGCGTCATAGCGCTGCAGGATGGCCTCGGTGGGCTCGTCGGTGAAGCTCATGGGAGAGTCCGAGGTGGTGGAGACCGAGGAGCTGCGCGTGGGTGGTGATAGCGAGGGTGTGCGGGATGCTGCGCGTGAAGAGCTGGTGTAGTAACTGGGCTGTTGCCTCGGAGGACGGGTGGCGTAGGAAGCGAAGGAAGAAGTGGACTCGTAGGGGAGGATCTCTGGGCGGGAGCGGGAAAGGTTCTCGGCAGCCAGCTGATACTCCCGGCGAGCAGCGAACTCCTTTTCCCTCTCGGCAAGCCTGGCCTTTTCGACTTGACGCGCCTGCCAGATACGGATGGGGGCTAGGAAGGGCTCAAGGTGGTAGTACAGATCGTCTGGGTTGATGCGAAGATCCCAGTCGAGGAGAAAAAGTAGCTGCTTCTCCATGAGATTGACCTCGGTGATGGAGAAGCCAAAGTGGTCGAAGCCACCGACAGCGCTGTAGCGAGCCCAGTGCTTGTTCTTGGGAGACGAGTCGTTGAGATTCTTAGCTGCAAGGATGAGCGAGGCGAGGAAGATGCGGTGGGTGGTGCATGGCATGCCCTTGGCGACTGGTGGCAGCCGAGATCTCAGCCGGCTCAGGTAGACGAGAGAGCTCATGAGCGTGGGCACCTGGACGTGAGACCTCTCGACCAGGGAGGTGATGAACTCTTCCAGCGATGGCAGACCAGGCTCGTGAGGTTGGGCGGCGGCCTGTTGGGGAGGCGAGGCAGGTGGGGTAGGCGGCAGGTTCTTGTTGATGGATGGTTCGCAGCGAATGACTTGGGTGGCCTTTTGGGCGAGATAGGAGATCATGTCCTGGGATACGGGGAGCTGGATGAAGTGGTCCAGAGCAGCCTGGTTCTCGGCAACGAGATTTGGTGAGTACATCATGGTGTCGGTAATGTGTGGTTGTTATGGTATGTCGGTCGAGTGTGAGTGAGTGGATGTCTTTATAGAAGGCAAGACTGAGTCAGACCCGAGGAAGAAAGATGGCAGTGGTCGTGTGTTTGAGATGATGATGATGATGCTCTGCAAGGCATAAACACAAGGCGTGTGGCTGACGTTCCGGTCTGAAAAGGTGGTAAGCACGAGTCCAAGGCTGTCCTGCAGTGGCGTGCAAAGATGAATTGAGGTTGAATTGCAAGGCAGCGAATTATTGAATAGCGACGAGTTCCGATCCAGTCGAAAAGTGCAGGAGAACGCAGCAGAAGGAAACTGTTTGTTAATTTCTTCTTCTTCTTGTTTTTTTCATGTATTTCTTCTCTTTTGTGGGAAGGGGAGAGAATGGGTTGGCGCTGCCAAAGAGGGAATGTGGAGGATGGGTAGGGGTAGGGGTGGAAGGGGAGGGACACTGCCGGAGTGGAGGGAGAATGCGCCTGCACCGCTTGGATGGCAGGGAGGGAAGAATGGAGAATGGAGGGGAAGAGGAAGAAGAACAAGGAGGAGAAGAAGAAGAAGAAGAAGAAGAAGAGGAGTGGAGAGAGATGATGACTTTGCACTGACCGAGAAAGAGGGAGTATCAGCGGCAGAAGCGAGATACTTATTCCAGGCCCCTTGAGCGCTCTGCTCCTTTGGCCGGTATGGTGGAGAGCCAACGGGCGAAGGTCAGTGGTGATGATGGCGGTGGGGCGTCGGGCGGTTGGCGAGGCGGGGATCCAATCAATCCACGGCAAGGCCCAGTGTCAGCGACGTCGCGCGCCTCAACCCAGCGGCTGTATGGACGGTTTCGGTCTTCTGGGCGAGAAAGAGTGGGCGAGAAAGGGCCAGGAATAGGGTGTTTCAAGTGCAAGCCCAGTCGGTTTGTTTGGTAGGATCGCTGCTGTGGCCCTGGACTTTTCTGCGACGAGAGATGCTAGCCAATGGTTTCCCTTGCCAGTGCCTTTGCGTTTCAACCACGTCGGCAATGTTTGAGAGTTGGAGAGAGAGAGAGAGAGAGAGAGAGAGAGTGTGTGTGTGTGTCCTGCCGCTTTTGTGCTGATGTTGCTGCTGCTGCTGCGGCTGCGGCTGCTGCACACTGAAGTGGACAGCCGTGAATGGGTGGATGGAAACAGCCGGTGCAAAAAGCAACACGACAACCACGTCCAAGGCAAGGCAAGGCAAAGAAAGCAAAGGCAAGGCGAGGGCAAAAGGGGATTCAAGTAGGACCAAGTCAGTGAGCTGTGTGTCTGTCGTCGTGGCCAAAGTGCATGTGCACCATGTATGTATGCATGTATGTCTGTCTGTCCGGTCTGTCTTTGGTTGGAAACGGAGTTGGGAACGGGTGTGGTGGCCGCACGTCTTCTCTTAGTCGGTCACGTTGGCAGTGACAGGTGGGAGGACTGGAGTGCTTGGCCAGCTTGGATAAGGCTTTGGAGGCGGTGAGTGCCTGGGGTGGAGACGAATGGGTGGCAGTTTGGAAGTTTGGATGAATAGCATGCGGCCACGCCTGTCCCTATACCGGTACCGCCCTCCCTCCCTACCTAGTACACGATCCAGCCCGTGGAGAGCCCCAGCCCGGCAGCCCTACCAATACTGGTTCATTTCTTCTTCTTCTGCCCATTGCATGCAACTGGGACGCGCACCGACTTGGCCCATGACTGTTCGTGACGAATGTGAGCGCTCCTGTGCGGCGTGCCCATGACCGCCCGGATCGGAGGCAGCATTGCGATGCCCAGCACCCCAGCCTCGCAACCAGATTCGAACGTGGGAATGGACAGGCGTAGGGTAGGTATGTATAGGAGCCAGTCCCGCCATGGCCGCATCTGGCACCCAGCCAACGCTTTTCCGCCTTTTGGACAAAGTAAGTGGTACTGTAGGCGCAGGCAGAGCAGTAGATGGGTGTGCATGGCACTCTACCTCGTACGGCGGCGGGCCATGTCCTGTTGCATGCCTACCGTAGGTTACATGGTAGGTACATTGGACCCTTTGTTTCCTTTGTACCAAGCACGGTAAGTCCTGCAGACCCCCCATTCCTCCAGCAAGAGAATATGTAGAGAGGAGAGTAGAGTAGGGTAGAGTAGAGTACCCTGCCCCAACCTTCTACTTGGTACATGACCATGGCCATCATCATCATGCATACATGCTCTTTGCGCAGGGGGGCCCACACAAGCACATGATTGGCTGGTGTGCAAAGGCCTTGGCAACAAACAAAGTCATCCGTTTCCCTCGCCTGTTTCCAACCCTCGCCTGCTCCCGCTCTCCACCCCGCCGTTGTTGTCCTCGATCTTGTTTCGACCGGCACACAGACACATGCATGCTCTCCACCACTCTGACTGACGAGGCGTATACGTACTACTACTACTACTGCGTGTGTACCAAATACCTACTGTACGGTAGCATGACTGACTGCATCACCATCATCACCATCATCACCATCATCATCATCATCATCATCATCATCATCATCAACGCCCCCACCTCGTCTATTCTCTTGACGGCCATGTCCGCCTAGCCTGCTGCACCATCTCCTAGAGCTTGCGAGATTTATGCA